ATCATTTAGTGAAAATATATAATATAACTAAAAGAAAAAAATTTATAATTATAATAAATAGAATTATTATAATTATAAAAATATAACTATTTAGTGAAAAATATAATATAATTAACCAATTAAATTTGTAATTATAATTATTAAAATTCATGAGAAAGAGGATAAATCAATTTACGCTATTAATCTTTATACATTTCATCTTACTTATACCAACAAAAATAAAAATACTGAATCTCACCGATTTTTGGTTCTCTTTTTACCACCAAATTTAAGGTTAACCTAAAATACAAAATAATATAAAAATAATTAACAATTAATACATAATGAAAATAATTTAAAAACCAACAACTAATAAGATATAAAATATAGACTAATTAAATTTTAATTATGCTACGTAATATAGCTTGAGTTTAATGAAAAGTGTTTTTCCTGTGCTTAATGAAAAGTTTTATAAAAGTTTAATAGTTAAATAATAGTAACAGAATACTTAAGCATATTGGAAAACAGTTAAACAACTATTTAAAAACTGATCACAAATGCAATTTTGTAATACAATTTTGATGATGTTCATTCATGTATGAGAAATTATTATTTGTTGATAAGTTTTTATTTTCAGATTTAGAAAAGATGATTCATTATTTTCCTGATAAATTTTATAGTATAGTTGTAAATATAGAATTACTTGTTAAAGATATTCAGATGAACATAAAAACCCTAAATATTTTTTTGAATTGAATGATTAATTGTAATCATTTTTGGTTTTGTAAAAATAATATAAGAAAAAAAGAATATAAAAAGAAAATAGAAAACTAAACTGAATTTATCTAAAAATTACTTGTTGAGTATGAAAGTTCTCGCAGTCTTGTGTTCGACAAAAAAAAATACAAACCATCTATCTTTTTCAAATTCGCTCATATATTATTTTTCTAATATAAATTATTTAGGTCTAATATAGTTTGGATTTAATACAAATATGTAACTAAAATTGAAGATTAAAATGTGTTTATTGAATTTAGGCTAAAATTCATAAATTCATTGTTTAAAAAATAAAAAAAAATATTTATTCATATTATTTCTATAATTAAATTTCATCTTTTATTTTTAATGTTTTGTAATTATTTGAGTGGGATCGTTTTTTGTAAGGGTCAAATTTTGTTTTTTACTGGTATCAACAAAAAAAAAGTAAACAGAAAAATATATATTTTGATAAATAGTGGAGTTTGCTAATGGCCTACAAAAGTCAAGATTATTTGTGAAAGTCGACCATACACCATAGTTTTTTTTGTAAAACTAAAAAGTTCGGGCCAAAGGTCCTAATTTTCCTAGGTTTGAAGTCAGCCTTTGTTTATACCTTTTACGGCTCTGGACATTCCTCGAACCGGTGACCTCTCAAACAAATGCCTGGGATACTGTCAGTTGAGCTAACTCGTCCGGGTAAATCGACCATAGTTCCTAAGAGTAATCACATTCGAAGTAGAGTTTGGTTATCTTCTTTTAATGACGAATGTCAATGAAAACGTAGCAAATAAGGAACATAGAACCAGATCTAACTGGTTGACAGAAAGAAAAAAACAAGAACCAGATTTAACCTTAGTATAACTTTGGAATGAATTTGTATGTAGATTTTTTGGAAATGAGTTGTTTCTAATTCAAGAGGAATTTCTAAAATCAATTAACGGATATGCAATATTGTAAGGCTATACATATAGATTTAGAATTTTAAAATGTAGGGTTCTTTTATCAAAAAAAAAACTTGAGATTGAAAGGCCTACCAATAACATACGTTTAACGTATGGATTCTTGGACTTTTTGTTAGAAACTTGAGATTGAAAGGCCTACCAATAACATACGTAGAACTTAGGATTTTGTTTGTTTCTTTCTTTTGTTACAATTGTCAGATGAAAAATCGAGCGTTGAAAAGTGCCACCCGAAAAACTTGAGTATAACGTTTATTATGCAACAGCTTATAATTAAGGTGGTGACGAAATTTATTTATTTATGTGACTTTTTTTTTGATCAAATTTATTTATGTGACTTCTACCAAAAAAATGTTGGGTACTTCAGGATAGGCTTATTCTCTTTCTCTGTGCTTACTTTTAACCAGGTCAATATGTGTTATAAACTTTATTAATGCCAAAACTGGGTTTAAACACACTATATACACTGATAGATTTCCCAAGTAAAGCGTATCTCAGTATTTGATACAACTTAACAACCATTGTTGACCAATCAGTGCATAATCAAATTAGTATTACACAGAGAAAAAGACATCGCCATTGTCGGCAAGCGGGTGGGGGGCCATAGTCTGTGTCCTAAAATCTCTATAATATTTTTTGAGAAGTCAGTTTCTTATGTGTCGCGTTCACTTTAACTCTCGCAATGGTTGATTACTTAGATACCCTTAATGAATTTTTAGATTTTAAGATTATTTTTTTATTTAGTTTCTTTTTTACCTTTTTCCAAATAACATATATAATAAAAAAGGAAATATTTCTAAAGTTTTTTAAAAAATTAAAAACGAAATACATGTATATAATATAACTTTATTAAAAAAGAAAATTCACAAAATAGTAATATCCCCACTAATGTATATTTTTAAATAACATAAAATATATTTTTAAAATAATAAAAATATATATGTTCATGAACATCCAAAATTTTATCAGTTACACTTTATTTTCTAATATTTTTTTAGAAATCACCATATAATTTGATAGATATTATGAAAATACATGTATATTTAAGCGATAAATAAAACTAATTTGATTTGATTTAACTAAAATAACGAGTAATTAAATATTATGAAAATACATGTATATTTAAGTAATAAATAAAACTAACTTGATTTGACTTAACTAAAATAAAAAGTAACTATACTTCAATTTTAATTTAAAAATAGGTTTAACTCAATATACTCACAAAATGAATGACTCGACTAATCTAATTTATATCCAAAATTAGACATCTAACTACAATAAGAACATGTATTTTATAATAATAATAATAATAATAATAATAATAATAATCTATTTAATTTTATACATATAAAATAGAGGTTGACTCAAAGCATATTAAAAAGAAAAAGAAGTATTAACCTATTACAATTTAATTCTTTTTAGCATTTATATATATATATATATGCATGAGATTTCAAAATATTATCATTATATTCATTTATGTAATTTTGAATCAAACACTGCAGCTTATTATTTATTTCATTTTAAGCACAATATATATATTAAGTTATACATAATTTAACTATAATTTATATGCATATCTAAGAATATATTTACATATCTTTTTTTTGGTCAAAAAATATATTTACATATCTAAATACAATAACCAACCGAAATGAAAATAAGAAAAATAATCAAAATTTTATTATATTAAGAATACAAAATATTATAGCTGAATTCAAAAAAATAGATATTATAAAATATACCGAATTGATAACCAAACCGACTATTGATCCAAAAAGTAACTAAACCGACAATAATATATCCAAAGTCATATGTATAATTAGAATATTATAATATTTATTAATATAAATTATACATATAAATTGATTCAAAACTAAAATTAAATATCAATCAATTATTATAAAATTTTATTTTTATGAATATTCATATCCGTGCATGAGCACGGAAAAATCACCTAGTTTTTAAATATTCTCAAAACATTATGAGTCTTATTAGTAATTGTCTTTTAAAAGAAAATGATTTAATTATTTTCTTTTTTGTGACGATGAATGATGATGATCTACTGTTAATAAAAAAGAATGTAATTATCTGCAATATATACAATATCAGGAAATAATTAGGGTTAATAGCTCTCTAACAATTCGACCATGAACAACTTCCTCCGCAACACAATTAATTATGATGGACAGCCGTACATACTAAACAAAAAAACAATGTCACATGATAATGACCAGTCTGATAATGACATAACTCATGACTTATATGAAGTATGTTAAAGTTTACGATTAAGTTGCATTCAAAGTCCCCAAACTAATCGACTAGCGAAAATGATGTAAGGAAACTTTATAGTACTAGTTTGGTTGAGATGACTGTAGAATAGTATCATCCAGCTTTACATCTGAGATAATAATTCGCAATCCACTTTGTTGTCACGAGAGCCAATGAAGGAAGAGTTAACTAATAATAGAAGTGAACACGTTGTGTACCTAAGGAGAAAAGCAGATCTAAAGTTTATTGGACGGTGAAGATCCAGCTTGGGAAACGGCGTCGTGGCATTTGGATGCAGAACGTTGGGAGCACGATATGGATATTTTGTCCCAATCGAGTCAGGGGATATTACAGCTTTGAATGTTTTGATATTTCTTTCCAAACTAAGATTTTGTAATAATCACCAACTCTACCAGTTTCTCATTTCCAGAACCTTTATAATATTTTTTACATTTAACCCCAAAGTTTTTTTTTTTTGCTTTTAATATCAAGTTATTTAAAATGTATAAAATTAACCAAAGTATTTCAAACTTAATCGGTAACAATTAGCTATTACCACAAACTTAGAGTATCTCCAATATATGTTTCTATATTTTCTTCTAAAATAGAGATTTTGATTATAGAGTTGGATTTGTTCTACTATATATTTGTATAATGAAGTTCTTCTATTTTTTTAAAAAATATAGAAAATGTTATCTTTTTTTGTATTTAGAGGTGAAAATAGTATATTTTATATTTTTCTATAAATAGAAAATTCTATTATAAAGGTAATATTAATTCAAATCCTTTTTTATAATAAAAATTCTCTATTTTAGGAGAAAATATAAAAACAATAATAGAGATGGATTATAAATGGTCTCAGAGTATTATTATGTAAAAATAAGGATTTAATTGTGAAACTAAGAAACTTTAGGGCTGAAATAGAAAAATATTTTTTTCTTAGTACGGGTGGGGACATGTGAAAGCGAGAAAGTCATCAACGTTATGTAAGAAAATGATAAAAATGAGGGCCCACGCGTTCACATCATGACCATGGAATGTATAAAAGTTTACATTAAATATTCAGCAGCCCCACCTCATTGTAGCAGCTCTTAAAAAACAGGGGCTTCTTCAATCACGGATCAGATCCCCAACTCTTCGTCTTCCTCCCCTCTGACCACCGACTCCGATCTCGCAGTGGTCAGTCTCTATCTCTTTCTCTTTGAATCTCATCCGTTTTGACTTTTCTTGTTTTTAGTTTACAAATCTTAGAGTTGAACTCTGTTCTGGTCTGATTTATGCTTACTACACAAAAATAACGATCGGTTTGAGTTTGTGATTTTGATGATCGTTGACTATTGACTCTTGTGCGAGATCAGTGACTATAGTTTCACAATTTTGAAGTTTCTTGGATTTTGCTGTCTTTTGACTCCAGATCTTGAAAATTCGATATACTATTATTATTCCTGGATCTCGCTTTATTTTTTTTTTCTGTACGATCAACATGATGTATTGTACAAAATGATTATTTGTTGTAGGTGAGAAAATGGCACAGCATCTGTTGCATGGGACTTTGCACGCTACGATCTATGAGGTTGATGAACTCCACTCTGGTGGTCTCAGGTCTGGCTTCTTCGGAAAGGTAATAGTTTTGTTGGTCATTTTCGTTACATTTATCCTCTTTTTGTGATTCCTTTGTTCTTAAGTCATGTCATGGTCTCTTCCACATGGAAATGGATATTCTCCTTTGGACTATGGTCTTTTTTTTTGGTCAAAAGATCATATTTTCGACTATCTTTGTAACGATTTTTTCGGACTTACTCAAGATAATTGAAGAACTTTATGGATTAGCTTAACTTCACACTTAAATTATTTTACCAGTTTAGAAGTGGCTTTCAAATGTTTCACCTTTATTATTTTCCGTGTAGCTTAAATTTCCATGCTGACTCTATTTAGAGGCTACTTATTTTTTTTTTCCTATAAGTTATAATTAGTCTTTAGCAATTGATCCTACAGAAAATTTTACAGACGAATCTGAGATTTTGTCGGCTATGGCATATGTAATGTATATAAGGTTCAAAAAAATTTGGGGTCAAAAGCCTAATGTTTCACTAGGCGAGTTTAGTTGACAAAATAAAAATAGAGATCACTGATAAGAACTTTCCTTGACAAATTAATGAAATAATAGGTATTGAAATGTTTGTGGCATACTTGAGGTCCAATGTTGATGCTTACTATTCCTGAAGCTGCAACTCAAGAGACAATTTATTTTAATCTTTATTTTCTGTTTAAAAACTTTCAGATTCTGGCAAATGTAGAAGAGACCATTGGTGTTGGCAAAGGAGAAACACAACTCTACGCAACCATTGATCTCCAAAGAGCCAGAGTTGGAAGAACCAGAAAGATCAAAGATGACCCCAAAAACCCAAAGTGGTATGAGTCCTTTCATATCTACTGTGCCCACTTGGCTTCTGACATCATCTTCACCGTCAAGGATGATAACCCCATTGGTGCTACCCTCATCGGTAGAGCCTACATCCCTGTTGACCAAGTCATCCACGGCGAGGAAGTTGACCAGTGGGTTGAGATCTTGGACAATGACAAAAACCCTATTCACGGAGGGTCCAAGATCCATGTGAAGCTTCAGTACTTTGGTGTTGAAGCTGATCGTAACTGGAACCAAGGTATCAAGAGTGCTAAGTTCCCTGGAGTTCCCTACACGTTCTTCTCTCAGAGGAAGGGATGCAAGGTTTCTCTGTACCAAGACGCTCACATTCCAGACAACTTTGTCCCAAGAATCCCTTTAGCTGGTGGGAAGAACTATGAGCCGCAGAGGTGTTGGGAGGATATTTTTGATGCTATAAGCAATGCGCAGCATATGATTTACATCACTGGATGGTCTGTGTATACTGAGATTTCTTTGGTGAGAGACTCAAGGAGGCCAAAGGCGGGTGGAGACATGACTGTTGGTGACCTACTCAAGAAGAAGGCTAGTGAAGGTGTTAGGGTTCTTCTCCTTGTTTGGGATGACAGAACCTCCGTTGATGTGTTGAAGAAAGATGGTCTCATGGCTACTCATGATGAAGAGACTGAGAATTTCTTCAGAGGAAGTGATGTTCATTGTATTTTGTGTCCACGTAACCCTGATGATGGTGGTAGCATAGTCCAAAACTTGCAGGTCTCTGCTATGTTCACGCATCATCAGAAGATTGTTGTTGTGGATAGTGAGATGCCAAGCCAAGGAGGTTCACAGATGAGGAGGATAGTGAGTTTTGTCGGTGGTATTGATCTCTGTGATGGACGTTACGACACACCTTTCCACTCCTTGTTCAGGACGTTGGACACAGTTCACCATGATGACTTCCATCAGCCTAACTTCACAGGAGCTGCTATCACCAAAGGTGGTCCAAGGGAGCCTTGGCATGACATTCACTCTCGTCTCGAAGGTCCCATTGCTTGGGATGTTTTGTATAACTTCGAGCAGAGATGGAGCAAGCAAGGTGGTAAAGACATTTTGGTTAAGTTGAGAGAGCTTAGTGATATCATCATCACTCCTTCTCCTGTTATGTTCCAAGAGGATCATGACGTGTGGAATGTCCAGCTCTTTAGATCCATTGATGGTGGAGCTGCTGCTGGTTTCCCTGAATCACCTGAAGCTGCTGCCGAAGCTGGTCTTGTAAGTGGTAAGGATAACATCATTGACAGGAGTATCCAAGATGCTTACATTCATGCCATAAGACGTGCTAAAGACTTCATCTACATTGAGAATCAGTACTTCCTTGGAAGCTCCTTTGCTTGGGCTGCTGATGGTATCACTCCTGAAGACATCAACGCTCTACACTTAATCCCAAAGGAGTTGTCTCTCAAGATCGTTAGCAAGATTGAGAAGGGAGAGAAGTTCAGGGTTTATGTTGTGGTGCCAATGTGGCCAGAAGGTTTACCAGAGAGTGCATCAGTGCAAGCTATATTAGATTGGCAGAGGAGGACAATGCAGATGATGTACAAGGATATTGTTCAGGCTCTTAGAGCTCAGGGCTCAGAGGAAGATCCTAGGAACTATCTGACTTTCTTCTGTCTAGGAAACCGTGAGGTTAAGAAAGAGGGAGAGTATGAGCCAGCAGAGAGACCAGACGCAGACTCTAGCTATATGAGGGCACAAGAAGCACGTCGCTTCATGATTTACGTCCACACCAAAATGATGATCGGTAAGTTTTTTTTGAACACACAAAAAGAGCAAATTTCATAAATAGCACATTTTTAGTTTTTTTTTGTCATAAAAATAGCTCTTAAAAAGGAAAAAAAAGTATTTATTAAACAATAAACACTAAATTATTTTACATTCTAAACCATAACTCTAATCTTACCCTGTAAATATTAAACTCTAAACTTTAACCAGTAAACTCAACTAAAAATAAATAAAAATGTTTTAAAATTTTTTAATGTTCATTGCTGATTTTCCTCTATTTTTCTTGAATAAAAACTTGCTATCTAACAGTACTTTTTTTTTAAAAAAAAATGGATAAATGCCTATGTGTGCATCACTTTATGTTTTTATCCACACCAAAATGATGATCGGTAAGTATACTACTCCATTAAAAAAAGCTAATCTCATAAATAGCACATTTTTTAGTTTGTCATAATTTTTTTTTTTTTTTTTTGTCATAAAAATTACTCTTAAAAATATAAAAGTCTAAATTTTAACCCGTAAACCAAAACTCAACTTTAAAAAAAAAATTTTTTAGAAATTTTGGTGATTTTCCTCTATTTTTCTTGAATAAAAACTTGATTTAGTTTTAATCTCACCTTCTAAGATATTAAACCCTAAACTTAAATCAGTAAATCCAAACAAAAAATGTTTTTCTTAATAAAATTTTAATAATGCATTTTGGTAATTTGCCTCTATTAAAAACTTTATTTAGTGCTATCTAATGGTATTTTACATTAATTTTTTGGATGTGTGTGACTCACTTGACGTGCTATGTTGCAGTTGATGATGAATATATCATCATTGGATCTGCTAACATCAACCAGAGGTCAATGGATGGTGCAAGAGATTCTGAGATAGCAATGGGAGGCTACCAACCACATCACTTGTCACACAGACAACCAGCTCGTGGACAGATCCATGGGTTCCGCATGTCACTCTGGTACGAACACCTAGGAATGCTCGATGAGACTTTCCTTGATCCATCAAGCGTGGAATGCATTGAGAAAGCTAACCGCATTTCTGAAAAGTATTGGGACTTATACTCAAGCGAGTCACTCGAACATGACCTTCCCGGTCACTTGCTTCGCTACCCTATTGGTGTCGACAGTGAAGGTGACATCACTGAGTTTCCTGGATTTGAGTTCTTCCCTGACACAAAGGCTCGTATCCTCGGCACCAAGTCAGACTACTTGCCTCCAATCCTTACAACTTAAGTTTCATTTGGTATGTCTTAACAATGAACTTTCTTTGTGTCTGAATAAATTGAGTGTCTTTGTCTACCTTTAGAACTAATAAGTTGGTTGTTGGTTTGGTATGTTTGAATTTTCACCCTTTTGGTTTTTTTAATTCGTACAATGACATCTTGAGAATGTTAGCTTTGTGATCTTTATGAACTTTCTTTTTGTTGTTATGAATCTTATATTTGATATTTCTTCTTTTTTTTTTGTTTATTTGAATATTGGTGTCAAGTGTGTGATGCACATGACAATGTAGAGGTAGTTAGTAGTAGTTGCTGGTCGTGTTCAAATAGCTTCACCTAGGAAGTTTCGTAAGACTTCTTTCTCGAGTAGTTTTTTCTATATACGGAAGTTTCTAATTTGTAAAACATGGTGGAACCTTATTGGTTAAATGCCGGAACTAGAGATATCGGCAAAAGGTTTTTAAAAATGGACCGGACACGTGTATGAAGCCCTCATTATTAATCCTCACATCAACTTTAACTAAACTACTTAGATTCATTCGATATTGTCTGATAGATATGGCTCTGCAAACAGGCAAGTGGTTAACATTCATCCAAGCTAATAGAAACCTCACATTCTGTCGACATGCTCTCCAATAATTCTCGTTACTGTACAATTTGCGTTTTCTTTTTTTTCTGTTTTTTTAAAAAGATCCATCCAAGTAAATTTCTTTTAGTAATTTGGATAATAAACAAACAAGATTATGAGTTGGGTTTTTACATTTGCATGTAATATTGTTCGACTTTGTGCATTCACAAGCTCTATAATCTACACCTGTTGATAAACAAAATATACATATGAGATGAGATATAGCTTTTAAAAACTAGGAAAAATTGTTGCAAATTCCGAGTTGATTTTCTCTATAATAAAAATTGTTTATTGACCAAAAACAGTGTTACTTTTATTATTTTCCTTTTTCCCACTAAGATATGTGAGTAACGAAGCACTAAAATCAAATTCTTTTCCAACTTTACTTATTTTCTATTAAATTTTCCTAACCCTACTATATTTGTATATAAGTATAGAAGAGAGTCAAGAGAAGAGAATCCTACCATAGAGTTTCAACAGTTGGTTTAAGTTACAAGTCTCGTCACACAAACACACGTCTCTCCCAAGTACTAACAACCAATCATCTCAAACCTAACTTCTCTTCTCCGTTGGATTTCTTGAGAACTCTCTCTCTCTCTTTCTGAGTATCTTCAAAGAAACTTCAAGAACATGTCTTCCATGTTGGGTTGTTCTAGTGGCACCGTAGCGATCGCAACCGCCATGGTTTTCTCGAGCACTGCTCTCTTTCTCGCGATGGCTCGTCAGTTCCACGGGAAGATTCATGATCAGACGCCACCGCCACCAACCCTCCGTTCTTGCTTATCTTCAGGTACGTAATCTTTTTCTTGAAGTTTCTGACTGATCTTTTTTATCGGATAACTAAGTTTCTTTCTTTCTTGGGAAGCAGAGGAAACGAAGAAACAGAGGAGGAAGAAGAAGAAAGTTAGCTTCGCGGGGAATGTGAAAGATACGAAAGGGAACGGGAAAGATTACCGGAGGAGGGAACTGAGCAGGAGAATCGTACCGGAGCCAGTGACTAATAAACCGGGGAAGACCGGTTCAGTTTGTGGAATATCGACGATGCCAGCGAACCGGGTGGCTCTGTATCATGGGATTCTCAGAGACAGAGATCACAGAACTCAATGCTCTTATTGACTTTTCTTCGTTGACCAAACAAGTCAATATAGGTTTTGCGTTTGTAAATTTTCCGGTCATATACTTTTTCATGGAACATTCAGGAACGTAGTAGGTGGTTGTCTTCTCCTTTTTGATTCATAGTAGTAGGTGGCGTTCTTGCTCTCTACTTTTCTAGTTTTTTTGTTACAAAATCAAAGCGGTGATGTAAATTAATGACCTGTAAAAATTACATAATTGATATTCATTGTGGTAAAACTTTGGTTTCTTTGGTTAACCTTGTATTGATTGTGTTAAAAATTATAATCACATTGAGAGGGTAACAACATAGGTCTTTTATTTTGTTAGTAAAAGCCAATAAACAAAGTGTAACAATTTTTTTTTAACTTAAAACCTAGAAACAGTTGAAACAAAAGAAAAAAAAGTGTAGTTTTCTATGATTATAATACATCGTTTTATTAATGTGTTTTTATTCACATTGAATTTATACTTTAGACAGAAAATTAATATTAGTAGATTTGAGTTGATATACTTATTTATCAAAAACAGTTGAAGAATTTTATTATCCACTAGAGACTTTATCACTATCTTGTTTCATTCTTATATATCTGATTTTGTTATGTACCAATTAGTGAATGGGCCTTAACCATTAGATAGATTAGAACCAGCCCAATGGTCGTGTGACCCAATAGTCTAGGCGGCTGGTTCCCTTTTCCTTTTCTATGTATTTCCAATTCCTTGTTACTTTAGGAATTAGATGTTTTCCATTTATCTTGTTCTTGTATCCCATATATATATGGAACCTCTAAAGCATGAATAAGACACAGATTTCACTTTGGTTTACAACACGTTATCAGCACGAATTGCTCTGGTAATTCAAGCAAAGAAATCAGAACCCTAGTTCGAGCTTTCTCTCTCATCCGACCAAGCTCCCACCCGAGTTCCTTTTTCCGGCGAGTGTTCCACCCGAGTTTCCTTTTTACTCGACCAAGAACCCTAGCCGATCTTTCCTTTTCCCCGGCGAGCCTCCACCCGCGTTTCCTTTTCCCGGCGAGAACCCTAGCCGAGTTTCCTTTTTACCCGGCGAGTTCCCAACCCGATTTCCTTTTCCCGACCAGCCGCCTCACCCGAATTTCCTTTTTCCGGTGGAAGCCCTAGCCGATAGCAGAACCAACCGTTCCAGCCGCCAGAGAATTTCCTTTTCTCGTCCAAGAACCCTAGACGACCCGGTGATCCGTTCGCGGTCTTCTCTCCTGTTCTTGGTGGTCCGGTTACTTTAAATCTGCAAAAGAAAAGGTATACACATTAATCTGAGGACATAGAAACAATCATCATAGATTTTAAGATTATTTTTGCTAAACCCTAAAATTTGAATAAACTAGAATTTGATTCTCCCTTCTACCTTTCTTTCACCCTTATCTTGAAATCAATTCCAAATTAATTTTGTTTGATTGTTTCAGTGATCATATCTGAGAATTTAAAAACCCTAATTTATGGAATTGTAACCCTAAACCCTAAAATCGGTTTTAATTTGTTTTTAATTGTTTAAATTGATTGTTTGAGGTTTAGGATTGTTAGATTGATTGTTTATTTTAAAGAACCTAAATCCTAAAGGCCTTGAAACCTTTTTAAGATCATAAGGCCTTGAAACCTTAAACCCTAATATGATTTAAGATTGATTGCATAAAAGTTTTTTTTTTTAAGAAAACTGATTTTTATGAAAGTTTTAACTCTGATTTCAAGTTTTAAAATTTTTAAAAGTTGATTGGATGATTGTTTTACCTTAGCCGCCTGTTTTAAAAGTTCTCGGGGACTTGAAAACCCTAATTTTTCTTGATTTTAAAATTTGACCTAAGGGCCTTGAAACCCTAATTACCACAATTAATAAAATCAGGGGGAGAATTAGTATGTTTGATTTTGTTTAATTGTGTGAATGAATGATTTTATGAATTGCACCATATTGTTGAATTTGGTTGCATTCATATTGTTTAATAAATCTGACCAGCATATGTTTTTAATGTCATCTCACCCATTCCGACCAATGCTGAACCATATGAGTTTTGAATGATCATAATGGTGTGTTTTTGTTTGTCTTCACAATGATCATTGTAGTTACAAGTATGGTTTGGTTTGTGGTTGTAAAGTAGTCAAGAAATCACAAGTTTTTGTGAAACCCTAATGTGTGTGGTTTATGTGATTCAGATGTCTAAGATTGCAAACCTTGACTACTCAGCTCTCAATCTCTCTGGAGATAACTACCTGCAGTGGTCTCTTGATACCAAGATCAACCTGAACTCTAGAGGTCTTGGTGATACTATTGTGAAAGGCAATAATGAGCCGATCAAGAACCAGTATAAGGCAATTCAGATCATACGCCACCACCTTGTGGAAGGGCTTAAGAATCAGTACCTCACTATGGTAAATCCACTTGAACTTTGGGACGCTTTACAGCGACGTTATGATCACCAGAAAACGGTGTTACTCCCAAAGGTTCGAGATGAATGGAAGAACCTGAAATTCATGGATTTTAAGACCGTGGATGAGTACAATTCGGCCTTGTTCCGAATTGTGTCTTTGTTGAGGCTATGTGGTGATGTTGTAACTGAGGAGAATATGCTTGATAAGACATATTCCACCATGCATTCTTCTAATGCAGTGTTGCAACAACAGTATAGAACTAGAGAGTTCCCCACATATGATGATCTGATTGCAGTC